GCTAAAGACACGAGTGGCTGCAGGAGGAGGGGGGGCAGGGAGGGCAGGACAGCGAGGCCACGGGAGACACACAAAAGCCAGCTCCTCCGCAACGCTCTCCTCCCATCTCCGCCGACCGAAGCACGGCAGTCCCTCTCCTCCTCTCCTTCCCCACCCCTTCTCCTTCCCTCTCTCCTCCCCTGCCCTCACTCCAAGCACAGCTTCACCAGGTTGGCCTGGACCTTGGCTTGGTCCACGGCATCCAGGAGGTTCTTGGCATCCACGGCCAGGGTGTGGGAGGCCGTCAGCATCTGCCGCTTGCACTCTTCGCTCAGCGAGGTGATGGCGTTCTGCTGTGCCAGGCGCATCTTGTTGATGAGGTCGGCCAAGTCCTTGTTGAGCAGCTTCTGGGTCCCCTCGATCTGACCGTGACACGCAGGGGTTACAGACAGGGGTGCCACCAGCACCCAACCCCACGCCGGACCCCTCTCCCTCCTCCCTGGTCCTACCTCGGTGCGGGAGGCGGCGGGCAGGATGGGCAGGATCTCGTCGACGCTGCCAATCAGCTTCCGCAGGGACAGGCCCACGTTCTGCGGGGAGGGTGGCGGGGTTAGGATGACTCCAGGCACGGGCACAGGGAAGTGGTGCGTGGGAATAGTCTGTGCTGCTGAGCCAAGGATCCCATTCGGGAGAGGGGCATTGTGGGAGACTCTCCCACCGTTGACCCAAGGACCCAACAGAGGAGCAGGGAATGCTGGAAATGCTCCCACCGCTGACCCAAGGACCCAACGGAGGAGGAGGGAGTGCTGGAAATGCTCCCACCGTTGACCCAAGGACCCAACGGAGGAGGAGGGAGTGCTGGAAATGCTCCCACCGTTGACCCAAAGACCCAACGGAGGAGGAGGGCATGTTGGGAGCTCTCCCATCATCGACCCAAGGATCCATAGGAGGAGCTGGGAATGTTGGAAACGCTCCCTCCTACATGTGCAAGACCTTCCTGAGGAGGACGCTTGGTGGGAGCTGCTCAGCAGACTCATTCCCAACCCCCATTCCCCTGGCGTTGCCCCTTCCCTGCCCTTCCCTACCTTCACCACGAGGATGTACCCCTCCGGGGGCAGGAGGCTGATCTCGTTCTTCAGCTGCAGCACGGCCCGCACCAGGTCCATGACGTTGCTGTACACCGTGTCATCTGTGCGGTCCAGGTTGGCAGTGGGGGCCGGGTGGATGGACTGCTGGGGAACGGGGACACGATGGGATCAGATGGACCGAGGTGGCAAGGAGGGAAAGACCAACAGCTATGGGGAGCCCTGGCCAGACCCATCCACCTCCCACCCATGACCCCGATGCTGCTGGGTCTGCCTGAACCCTTTGGGGCCTGGGGGAGTCAGAAAAGTCCCATCCTGCAGATGCAGAGGGATGATGGGGGTGCAGGAGGAGGAATGAGACTGTGGAGATGGAGGAAGAGGACCGGGACCGTGGTGGCCAGATCCAGGGAGGTCTTACCTGTGCCCCAAGTCTTGGAGGCTTCTGGGGGGGCCCCGTGAACTCCGCTATGCCGTCAGTAAGGAAAAGGAAGGAGAGTCACTCTGGCTGTTCCCCTGGACACATGGGCACGCTGCAAGACCCCTGGGACCCGTGCCACGTCCCGCACCACCCTGGAGCAGCGTGTCCCACTGTGGCTGGACAGCCTGACCCACCCCAGCTGTGTCACCTCCCCGCAGGGTCAGACCCCCTC